AGGCGCCGAGCCTGTTTTCATTTTTTATATAGCTTTCTTCATCCTGTCTTCCTATCTTTCCCTTTCTCTTCTATACATCTCCTTATTGCCACTAGACAAACCCTATTGCTACCTTCTGTCCTTCTACGCCTAATAGTCCTATTTACTTTTTCCCTTATATTTTTCTTCATCTCATGTTCCATTTTGGTGTTCTGTGAAAAATTGATGCTTGCCACTGTTAATCTCCTCATCTCTGACATTTGGCCCTTATTCTCTATGTGTTTTTCCATCCAAGTTTCTTTTCATGTTATATTCTTCTTTGGATGCCTTATTCAAATGCTTTTCTGTACATGAAATTCTTTTCATGTGCTTTATATGCCATTTTAATGAAGTAAGATTTTTCTTCTAAAACTATGTACACAGACTGTGATAGCAACCCAGCTATCTTTCAGCAGGTAGCTAAGCATAGATAGGAATCTTATAGAACAAACATAATCTGCCACTGGCTCAGTAGAATTTATGTGACTTTGTACCACTCTTAATGTCCTATCATAAGATTATTTGATTCATCCACAAAGTACATAGAAATAGTTAAGTATGAGTTTCAAACTGTATAAGTGTTCTTTAGGTTTCAATTTTAGTCATATCTTAAGTACATACCCCAAAACACAGGAAATAAATAAAACTCTAGCTCTTAAAAGCCTGCTCTAAGGCAGGGTCTGTGGCTCACTGGGTGGGGCATCAGTCCCATATATTAAGGGTAGCAGTTTGAACTCAGCCCCGGCCAAACTGTAACAAAAAATAGCCAGACGTTGTGGTGGGCACCTGTAGTCCCAGCTACTCAGGAGCCTAAGCCCAGGAGTTGGAGGTTGCTGTGAGCTGTGATGTCACAGCACTCTACCCAGGGCGATAAAGTAATACTCTGTCTTTTAAAAAAAAAAAAAAAGCCTGCTGTAGAAAATTATTGAGAAAGGGCAAAAATTATATGGGGAAAAAATGTATATGGAAATTGTCACACAGGTATATTTTTAATAGAATTTTAAATGCCATAGGAAGTTTAGTGATAACAAGATGAACTTGGATATATACTTTGCTAAGGCTTTGCTGCTCAGTTTTTGGGATAAAACTTAGAGTTACATATTTGAGTCTAGCATAGAAGATAAGGCATATGTTGTATTCCTTAAATATGAATTTTTTCTAATATCTGCAACAATTGTGTCAACTATATAAATTATGAGTCACTTAGTGCAGAGAATTTTTAAGAAGTAAAAATTTGTCACTATAATCTATAATTAAACCCAAACTTAATCTCAAGAGTTTGGATAGGGAGGGAGGGGAGATTACAGTGAAAGTTTAATGACAAACCAAAGCCAAGTCACAAATAATACAGTTGTTACAGATATCTTGAAGTATCATTTGTAATAATTACTACTGCTAGATTTTTCATTTATGCCTTACAAGGAAACGTAACTGTACTTCTCTTGTTTTGTTCTGACATTTTGTTAATTAAATTTTCATATAGTGGGCTCGGGGCTTATACCTCAGCGATTAGGGCGCCAGCCACATACACCAAGGTTGGCGGGTTTGAACCCAGCCAGGGCCTAGTAAACAACAGTGACAGCTGCAACAACAACAAATAGCTGGACATTGTGGCAGTTGCCTATAGTCCCAGCTACTTGGGAGGCTGAGGCAAGAGAATCACTTGACCCCAAGAGTTTGACGTTGCCGTGAGCTGTGATGCCATGGTGGCACTCTACTGAGGGCTACAAAGTAAGACTCTATCTCAAAAAAAAAAAAATTTTTTTTTCATGTAGTAGACGTGTTTTTTATCTTATATGTATATGAAGTATATTTATTTATAGATAGTATTTTTTTTTTTTTTTTGAGACAGAGCCTCAAGCTGTCCCCCTGGGTAGAGTGCCGTGGCATTACAGCTCACAGCAACCTCCAACTCCTGGGCTCAAGCGAGTCTCTTGCCTCCGCCTCCCAAGTAGCTGGGACCACAGGCACCCGCCACAACACCCGGCTATATTTTTGGTTGCAGCTGTCATTGTTGTTTGGCGGGTCGGGGCTAGGGGATTTGAACCCGCCACCTTAGGTGTACGGGGCTGGCGCCTTAGCTGGTTGAGCTATAGGCGCTGAGCCTATAGATAGTATTTGAGATTGGGCCTTTAATTGCAAACACTTTGCTTCAGGTGTAGAATTACATACATAGAAAAGTGTTTTATCATAAGATTATTTTTCTTTTTGTCAGCAAAATAAAATTGTGAACCTTTTTTGCTAAAATTGGAAAGTTGTGAAAAGTTAGTAATTTATAAAAGAGAGAAGGAAGTAAGCATGTGGAAAACACTTTTTTTTTTTCTTTTTTTTTGCAGTTTTTTGGCCAGGGCTGGTTTGAACCTGCCACCTCTGGCATATGAGGCCGGCGCCCTACTGCTTTGAGCCACAGGTGCCACCCCTGTGGAAAACACTATTTATGTGTCTAACACTACTAGGTGATTTATTAGGTAGACGAGTCCTCGGGCAAATGTGATTATTGTTCATTGTAAAAAACAGCTCACTATTAAGCTCAGCAAGGAAAGTAAATTCTGTAAGGTCATACTGTCTTAGAAGTGGAATTCCAAGCTAAATCTGATATTAGTTAAAGTTTGTGCTCTTTATACATGTACTCTGGTCATTGGGTGTCCTTAATTTGTTGTTTAGTATCTTGTCTTCTAGTAAAGGCACTGAAAATGTATATATGTGTATAGATACGCACACACGTGACTTTGTTATTGTTTTACTTATGATCTTATCCCATTAATTTTGCCAGTAAGATAATTGTTTATTAATTGTGAATCTAACAAACTTTGGAGTTGGGGGTGGTTTGGGGAATATTGGAGAGGGCATGGTCTTATAGAAATGTCTTTCTCAATAACTAAATTATTAAGCACTTTGCTGGGAGATAAATAATTGGTTTGGAGCTGAGCAAAAGCTGTTTCTGCTGGGTTCATATATGTAGCCTTGTGGTTTGAGTGCCAGATGTTTTGATTCCCACAGGAGGCAGCCTTCTTTGCTGTGATTCTTGCCCTGCTGCTTTTCATCGTGAATGTCTGAACATTGATATCCCTGAAGGAAACTGGTATTGCAATGATTGTAAGGCAGGCAAAAAGCCGCACTATAGGGAGATTGTCTGGGTAAAAGTTGGACGATACAGGTAAGTGTGAAGGAGAATGGCACTCATATCTTTCACCATCCTGTTTCTTGGGAACTGTCAAACAAAGTTTATTTTTTATTTAGTACTCTTCATGATTATGCCTGGTATATTTCCCTTTATTAACTTTTCTTTATAAGCCTCAAAATCTAATTTTCTTTGTAATCATAGGAATAATATATGTTCTCTGTAGAAATTCACAAATGGAAAGAAATCCCTAATCTCACAAAAAAGATACATTATTAATATTTCAGCATATTTATTTGTAGACAGGGCAGTACTCCCCCCTGCAAAATAATTGTCCTTATCATTTATACTCAGTTTTGCACATGTTCTTTGTAAAATTATTATTTACTTTTTTTTAGAGACAGCGTCTCACTCTTGCCCATGGTAGAGTGCTGTAGCGTCATAGCTCACAGCAATTTCCTACTCCTGGACTTAGGTGATTCTTTTGCTTTGGCCTCCTGAGTAGCTGGGACTACAGGTGTCCACCACAATGCATGGCTATTTTTTGTTGCATTTTGGCCCGGGCTGGGTTCAAACCACCACCTTTGGTATATGGGGCTGGTCCCCTACCCACTGAGCCACAGGTGCTGCCCCACTCTATTCACTTTTATGCACTGAGACTCATCATAATTAATACAGTACTCTAGTTCATTCATAGTTCATTGTTCTTTCATGCTCCTTTATATAGTCTCACAATGTTTTGTACTTCATTTGTCCATTTCCCTGTTAGGACTATGAACATTTGTTAGTTTTTTGGCGTATATATGCAGGGGGCTTCTTGGGTATGGACTTCCAGCTCTAATAGTTAATGCCACATTGCCTCCCTTCATTTTTGGTACCATTTTTCAGTATTCCTAGTAATTTTCAATACTCCTAGTATTGTACAGTAAGTGTAATTATTGAAAGTTTCCTTTTTAAAAACCGAATTGCAGGCCAAGCACACAGGCTCATACCTGTAATCCTAGCACTGTGGGAGGCCAAGGTGGGTGGATTGCTTGAGCTCTTGAGTTTGAGACGAGCCTGAGCAAAAGCAAAACCCAGTCTCTACTTTAAAAATGAAAGAAAAGAAAGAAAGAAAAACTGAGGGAAGAAGATCACTTGAGCCTGAGTTGGAGGTTGTTGTGAGCTGTCTTGCCATGGCACTCTACCCAGGGCAGGAGTTTGAGACTCTGTCTCAAAACAAAAATAAATCAAATTGGATTTCATTATATAGTGTACTACAGACACTGCTGTTGTTCCCTTGGTTACAAGTTTTTTATTCTTACAGACTTAATGCTTCAGTGAGCATTATAGTCATAAATCTTTGTTCATTTCTCTGATTATTTGTTGTTAATACATTCCTTAAAGTAGAATAATTGAGTCTAAGGAAGTGTGTGCGTGTACAGGGGCATGGGCATGGGCAGGGGCAGGAGTTTCAATCTTTCCAGCACACATCACTTGTTCTCTGATAAGTTGTACAAATGTGCTAGGATGAACTTTAGAATGGGCAGACATTTCTATTCCTTATATAGGTTATTTTTCTTGTGCATTGGAGCTTTTTGGAGATTTCTTCCCTTTTCTTCACCTCTTCCAGGTGGTGGCCAGCTGAGATTTGCCATCCTCGGGCTATTCCTTCCAATATTGATAAGATGAAACATGATGTGGGCGAGTTCCCTGTCCTCTTCTTTGGCTCTAATGACTATCTATGGACTCACCAGGCACGAGTCTTTCCTTACATGGAGGGGGATGTGAGCAGTAAAGATAAGATGGGCAAAGGAGTAGATGGGACATATAAAAAAGGTAATTTTATCCATTTTGTTTCTTAGGCCAACAACAACCTCTATTTCCTAAGCATCTACTCTATGTGAAAATTGACATATGTTCCATTTAGCAGATGTGTTCTGTCCTCTGGGAACATTATGTGGCTGTGGGTACAGTATTTTGCAGGAATTTGATCTGCATATAACTCAGTATTTTTTTTTTAACTCAGCATTTTTTTTTTTTTTTTTTTTTT